TATCAATAATTAATAAAAAAGGGAATTCTTTCTTAACGAGCAATCAAGTTAACAAAGACTTGACCATAACATAGTTTACATTAATTAAGATAATTATTTTCTTTGATTAGTCGAAATTATAAACTAAAAGTAGCCGAATTTAACAATCAAATATGTTATTTATTAATTAAATTTCTTTTTTAGAATAGAGATTTAAGTGCTAATTAGTCTCTTTAGATTCCCTTAAAACAAAAAAACTTATTAAAAAGAAGAAAATCACTACCAAAGTCAACCCACTAGAAAAGACCTGAAAAATATCTTTCGATTGATAATAAAAAAAACTACTTTCATAATTGAGCCATAACACTGGCACAGCTGGAACAGTATGGGTGTATTAACCTTATTATAAAAACAACTGTATAATTAGGGAAATCCAAAGTAAACAAAAATCTATTTTTTGTATATTATTCAACAAATCTATATTTCAAAAGGTCTCATACATCTGTCCTGCCTTATCCCAAGTTACCAAATATCTTCCATCATTAGTTAGTGATCCGAAAATGGCATTCGATTAATATTTTTTTTCAAATAATATTTTGAATTTACCTTCATTGGTTATTTTAATCAGATAAAACATGAAATTTATGTCTAACAACAATGAAATTCAATCTTATTTTTTTTCTAAATTATGAAGTAACTATTCCGCTTTTAAATGATACATTAAAATATTTATTTTACAAAAAAAAATTATTTATTTCATAATTAAAATAAAAATTAGTAATTTCATTACTTAATTTCCATGAAAAGATTTGGATTTGCAATTTGGCTTTGTTAGTTCAATTGTTAATTTTATTTTCTATTTTATGAATAGCATTTAATTTTTTAATAGAATTTTATTATAAATTTTACAAGAGGACCTGTTATCCAAATATTAACACCCCTATTTAAATGAAGCAAAATAGGAACAAAGAAAAGTAATGATAATTTAGTAGAATTTAAAATTCTAGAATTGGATAATTGGAGCATTGATGGAAGTAATTCAATTATAATAATTTGGAGAGACAGTTAATACAATTTACAAAGCAGTTTCTATATTAATTAAAATTACTAACAAGTCACAAATCCTATTTAGCTTAATAATGATGGTGTAGTAAAATAGAAATTCTTTTGAGATTAATTTAATTAAGAATTATTAAGCTGATTTGAATGCCATATCTGCAGCTAAATTAAGTTAAAAAGGGAAAATCTGAGAATTTAGTAAATTTAGATATTCGTTTGGATGTTAAGAATGTACAAATGAGAAGGTAATTGTATGATCAAGAATGGAAAATATTAAAATTGTCAAAGTGATTGTAAAATCTGTCTAAATTGATTCTCATAGAACAGATATTTTGAGTGTAATCAAGTGTAGTTAAATATGGAATTTGATATTCTTATAATATGTGGTTGGATATAATAAGATTAATATAGAATAGCAAGTTATAAGAATAGCACTTTAGTTATAGCTTAATACTATTCAGAGACATCACTTGGAATTAGAGATTCTAATAAAGAAGTCACTTGATTATTAAATGATTCTTGAAATGCCTTAAGATACTCAGATATCATACTATCAAAGAATTAAGAATTATGGACTTTGAAGTTATTATTGATGATAATGATCCTTTAGTTATACTATTGTTTTTCAAATTATTGGACGGAATATACAAAAATAGTAGTTGAATAGTTTGAAAATTAATTAATAAGAATTGGAAGTCAAAAAGAGATGAGTTTTGATAAACGGGCTTAATATGTATAAAATTCCATTATCGCTCTCACTCTCAAAATGCTTTAAAATAATATTATTGGAATGGCAATTAATATATAATTTAAGTTTACATAATTCTAATTAGAGTGATTGAATTGGAAATACTATGATCAATATGATTAGAGCTACTTAGACATTTGATTTTTCAACCAATATGATTATGCCATATTTAATTATTAAATGAATAAATGTGATTTCCTTTATTAACAATGTGCTGTGATAAAGGTTTATTATAAATAAGTGTTGGAAAGGATCTAATTTTTAATGATGGCCTAAACCTCAAAATAACTACAAATCTTTTAAATTAATTCAATAATACTAACAAAATTATTAATAAATGTAACTGATAAAACAACAATAATTAAATCAAAGTCTATAGATTATCAATAAACATTACCATTAAAATTTTTTACAAAAGGAAAATGATGAAATAGTCATCTTGGCACTAGCTGATACATAAACTTATATTCTTAAAAGAATATTACTTCTTGTATATTTTAACAATAATGAGCAATTAAGAACAGAAGTTTAAGTGAATATGAAGAATGGTGCTTTTTTGATTTAAAAGCTGTTTA